CGACCCCGTTCTATAGCACCACTACCTTTGCTGCATCGTTTTTCCGCCGCGCAGCTGCAGAATGGAATGGCGTTCCCCGCGACATCGTTTCTATCACTTGTCCATCACATTTTGTTCAAAGTGTATCTATCTACCTGTCTCGCTAATAAATAGTGGCATTAGTTACATCTCTGTACAACCCACCCCTTATGTAACACCACCTCGAGGGGTCCTTAAAGTAATAAAGTGAAGTGAACTGAAGTGATACTGGAGGAGCCAAAAGCAGAGCATCACATACAACAACAACAACAACAACAACAACAACAACAACAACAACAACAACAACAACAACAACAACAACAACAACAACAACAACAAAAATGTTTCGTGGGCAGACTCCAGTGCACCGCGAACTGGAAACGCTACTCGCCGATTTCGTCTGGAAGCTGCGTGCATGGTCGATACCTTTCACGCGGAGTGAGAGCTCTCGAGATAGCGTGCGACCCTGCACTCACGAGGGTCTAATTCAAGAGATCGCCATCGTGGGTGCGCCGATTTATGAAGCAGAAGGGCTTTGCGCTGAGGCGGCGTACTTCCGTCTTTCCGCAAATGCTGCGTCAGTAACGCATTGAATGGAACGGAGGACGATGCACTCTGGGACGTTACCATAGTGAAGAACAGACGTTGTCGCACTCAAGTTCAGACGAGTCTGAGTGACAGCACTTTGTGGCCTTCTGGCGTTCAACTACATAAGATTAGTGTCCAAATAGAAATAAATGTCACGGCAGTGAAGCTGGTTGTGTCGCGTATTTACGATGGTAATTGTGTGCCGCGATACCTTCCAATTTTAAAAAGAAAATTTTTTTTCGGAGATTCCTGTGTCTAATTGCTGGAAATCGTATGCCTAGTGATAGTGTCCTTATTAACATTGCTTGACTAGGCTCTTCTCTGGCAAACGTTGCTCCTTCCATTGCCGTATTTTATGCTGCTTACCTTACAGTATCTCAATAAGCTTTCATGCTGCTGGTTGCCTTCAATATTTTCTAATTGCACGCCGGCCGTGATTATTTGCACAATTTCCTCTCGCTTAGCTATTTAAGACTCTTTGTAGACAATTGTGTTCACCACCTGTCTTTGCTAGTTATGTCGACTAGCATTATTAAATATAAAAAGAAATTGCGCTTCGGATGAATTAAACATCCTGCGGAATTATTGTGTCTTCTTTTAATTTCTCTTTGCAGAGTACTGTTGCTAACAATAATTTTGGGAAGGCACTGCAATGTTCGGCTAGTCGCTTGATTCGCCGCTTCCCACGATTCAAATCAAAGGTGTAATTTTTTGAACGACAAAATAACCGAAAGAGAAACTTTCGCCATCGTTCGGGCCTGAGGCCCAATTTCATCAAAAGGGCCCTGAAACTTTTTTTAAGTAACCATGGAATGAATTCAGTAAAAGAGCTTATTGCTTCACGAATTCAACGCCGCTAAAATTTCAAGAATCCGCCCAGTATGAGCGGAGTTGCAAAGATTTGTCGCACGCTGCACTCGCATTGCCTCTTCTCTCGTCCCGATGAAGGCGCTGGAAGCTAAGCATGGAAGGGATGGCATGGGCAAAGAAATTACGTCACGTGTGCCTCGCGAATTTGAGCATTTTCTTCTTTTTTTCCCTCCGAATACGCCGATTTTTCAGTGTGATCGCGCACGCACGCGTGGACAAGTCACGGCCTGTCGCGGCAATCCCTATAACGACCGTGCTCACCATATTCAAATGAGCCAATGGCTGATAGATGGCTTTCTACGAGTTTTTTTTTTAGCTTCCTTAGCCATTTGTCGAAAGAAGCGAAAGCAATTTTTAGCTGACTGATTATTTTCAATTCCAGGCAACGTGCTGCGCTATAATATTTGGCTAGCGTGTGCTCGGTAGCCTCTACAAGCGATCGGCAGCATTTTCTGACCATGCCCAAATAGTGTTGCAGGACGAATTTAAAGCAAAAAATAAAGTAGCGCAAGGATACACAGATAATAAATTACGATTTCATTAACCCTAATTCTCGTGAACATACGACACTATTTTTGTTGCAATAGAATACTGGCTGCCATCAATTAATAAGTATATTTGATATGTATGCAGGCAGTTATTGATAGGTGGCATCAGAAAGGGACGGAGAACAAATAAAAATGAACCTTGCGTGCACAGCAGCTTCCATTTAACTACAATGTAAAGTTTCTGTGGCTGATCCCCCAACGTACGTAGAACAATCATGGTCGCGCCGTCACGTAGGCCTATTACTCGAAGACCACAAGCTCTTGACACACAAGAGGTTGAAGTTGGCGGCTCCTAAGGCGCGTCCCGTTGATGACTGACGTTATTTTCGGATCGCGCGGTTGACGGACGCCGCCGTTTCGTTTGCCGCGCTCGCAGTATATAGCCGGCAAAATGTAGCAGTATCCTCCCCTCTTTGCGTCAGCGCGTCACTGTGAATCTGTCAGTCGACGAACAATCGACGCAATGCTCCGAATTCCTGCAGTGACGTTCTCGACTCCCCCTCGACGGCCACTGTCGAAAGAGCAGATGCACAGGCTCTCCGCAATGTTGGTGTTTTTTTTTTTTTTTTGCGATGAAGACGTGCTTGAAGGCATTGTGCTTGGCGTGAATGAGCGTATTGTATCCGTGCTGCGATTGTGTTGTGCGCTAAATGAAGCAGGGTTTCGTTGTATCAGTCGTTCGTTGCGTTCAACGTACGTTCATTGCAATGCCCTCTTGTACAACACATGTCCGGTACAGCAAAAAAAAAAAAAACATTGCTGCAATGTCAAGGACGGGTTTGGCTGGGGAGGGGGACGGCGCTGGGTAGGATGTCAGAGGACACGGTTCGATGCAAGCGTGCCGCACCACGCAAGCGCATAGCGTCTTTCGGCGCGCATGTAAAAAAGACCGCCAATCATTAGTTCGTCGTGAACAAGGCACCGATACTGGACGCCGAAAGGTCAACTCTGTTGTTTGTGTTTTTTTTTTTAGCAGGCGAGTGTACGTTAGTTCTTCGATCCTACCACCTTACTGTAATCTATATCCCAATAAAAGATGGCCAGCCATGGGAAGCACCTGGGCCACGGCCCGGTGATGCCATAGTGCGTCGCCAGGCCGCTAGGGCACCACAGCGGCTGAGCACGCGCGCGTTACAGCCAAGTATCAAACCCAAGGAGGATAAAAAAAATGTTGCAGTGGAAGCTCAGTTACACCCCTAATAAGCTGACAGTTTACAAAACGGATGTACACACATTCCAAACGAAACAATTCGCGGGGCGTTAAAAAATCGGCAACTTGCCATAGTCAATCCACGATAGCACAGAATGTACGGCGTCAGCTTGACAACGGAACTAGCTAATGCCCAGCTACTAAACATGTGTCTGCTCTTCACCAGCGCCTGTTCGCTCACTTGCGACCCGAACCGATTGAAGCTCCTGCTAATAACACCATGAAGGACAGAGTTGGCACTGTCTGTAAAAGGGGAAGTTCCCACAGCCAGATTAATCCACGGCTGGATGAACAACGGGAATCCTTGAACTCAACCTTGATATATTAGCACTGTAGCGCTTCGTTTGAAGACCACAGGAAACGAAGTAGCACCTATAGGTTAACTTCGTTGTAAGCGTTTTAGAAAAAGGGTCCGGAAATACTCCAAATTAAGATGAATGAAATATTTGCTCTCTGCCATTATAATTACTTTTTCTGTGGTGGCAGACATCATTACATGTCTTGTGACCTCACTTACAAGCCTTTAAAATGAACAAAATTATTCTCGTATTTAGCTCACTAACATTCAGGTCAAACGAGAGGATTGGAGTCAATCCCGCATTACCACTGTGACATTCAGGAAACGCGGACGCCAGTTGTTTCAGCAGAGCGGTGAAATCTCAGATTTCGATTGCGACACAGACACACGAAAGAGCGCAAGTGACCGTTGTTTCCAAGACGTCCAGAATGAAGCAAGTGTCCTTATATCAACTATCAGTCGACTTCGCTCAGAATGTGCGCAGCCTATGCTTGCATTTATAGCACGCATGACGCACGTATACTTTAACGGCTGCAGAACTGGCACAACCGCAAGCGCTTTTGTGAACAGCGACATCACTCTGGTCGGCTGCAAGCAGCGCTAATATGTGCTTCGGTTGCAATTTCAGATATTGCGATTTCACTAGAACTAACGTGCAAACATAACTGTGGCACCTCCGGCAAAACCACGGTTCTTTCGCCACTTGTACTAAGGCTCGCACGGCGGCCTCGCAGACTGCCTCCGTCGGCGAGCGCAGTTGATAATCAACCGCGGTTAGGGTCTTTTGCGGACCCCCGACGTTTTCACTGACACCTGACGTGTTTTAAGGACACCCGACGTGTTTTACACGCGACGTATTTTGCCGACGGGCTTGGCGGACACCTTACGTGTTTCGGGCACACGCGACGTTTTTGCAGACACCGACGTGTTTTGAGCACACGCGACGTGTTTTACACCTGACGTCTTTTGCCGACGGACTTTGCGGACACCTGACGTGTTTTGAGGACACGGGACGTTTTTGCAGACACCTGACGTGTTTTGCGGACACTCGACGTGTTTTACACGCGACGTATTTTGCCGACGGGCTTTGCGGACACCTGACGTGTTTTGAGCACACGCGACGTTTTTGCAGACACCTGACGTGTTTTGAGCACACGCGACGTGTTTTACACGTGACGTCTTTTGCCGACGGGCTTTGCGGACACGGGACGTTTTTGCAGACACCTGACGTGTTTTGAGGACACCTGACGTGTTTTGAGGACACTCGACGTGTTTTGAGGACACTCGACGTGTTTTACACGTGACGTATTTTGCCGACGGGCTTTGAGGACACCTGACGTGTTTTGAGGACACGGGACTTTTTGCGGACACCTGACGTGTTTTTGCGGACATGCGACGTTCATGCTTTAGAAGCTTCGCTCTTAAAGCAAAAACACTGAAATGAGGTGTTAGTAAGCAGAAGACTCACCTGCGCGGCCTTCTGGACGGCCGTGGCTGCGGCAACCACCCCGTCGCCGGTGGGCGTGATGGTGCCCTGGGTGTCGCCGTTGGCCTCGCGCTTGCTCTTGCGTCGCTTGACCTTGTCCTTTGGCGCCGGCGTGATGTCCGCCGAGCGCTGCTTGCCCATCTTCTGGCCCATGGCGAACGCTGTTCGATCACGCCGTCAATTCCTGCGAAAAGAAGGAGAGAACAGGTTGGACCAATCAGCGAGCAGTAGTACAGTCACGTGACTCTCAAGCGTGCTAGCAGGACAACGTAAGAGACCAAAAAAGCGTGTGTTTTTAAATGCAATTTCCGGAACAGTTACCCGAGGAAAGCTGACAAAAAATACAGTTTGTAGAACATTTACCGAAGAAAAACTGCCATGCACCAGCAAGACAGCACACAAGTAATGCCAACTTTAGCAAAGAGTTGTGAAACGCCGTGCGTCCTCACTTAGAAGTACGTAAAGGCTCCCGAATTTATTTTATTTTAATATAGATACTGTGTGCCTCCTCTTTGCTTTGTGTCTGTTTACCCCCGCGCTACCAGTTCGCTGAACCATCATGAATTACCAACTAGCCAACCTTTCCATCCTATTGCAATATATGCTTTTTTAAATCTTTCACCTTGATTAACGTTTCATTTCTCATAGTCCTTACGTACTAGGCGGCAGTGGTCTCTTACTCAAATTCCGGAAAATGACATAAAAGCTCATCGTGACTTCAGACAGCCGCAAAACCCATTAGTTGTTGGAATGCAGATTATGCTACTGATTTCTGCGGAGAACCGCAAGGTCGCGGAAGGGTTAAGAAAGGAAAATTAGACAACTATATATTTGTGGCACGAAGCCACGAAGAAAGCCGTACGGATCTCTTAAGAAAGAAAAGCCTCTTAGTTCCCGATAAACTCGTCCCTGTCCGGGGACCGAACTCGGACCGACGCCTATCCGTGGTGGTCGCTCTGCGCCAAATGGGCGTTCTCGTGCGGTTACTGAGAAGGCAGATTAATGAGAAAAACATATTCAGCGCGAGTATTCATTGTCCCACGAGACAATTCTGCTACCGTCGAAAGTTGGAGAAAAACCTTCCGTGAAAACGTTTCACGTCGGTGAAAGGTTTTTTTGATAATTCAGGCATGAACAGCTTCGATATGCGGCGCTCGATGTTTTGCCCACGGGGAATCACTCATCGCTGTCCGAGCCCCTTCCTTATATTTATGTATTCCTTGTATTGATACCAAGGGCACTAGCTCTAACAATCAGTCAATGAATGGTTTAGACCCGTGTCCCACGGACCCCGGTGACCAAGAAAAAGCTGCCAACGCAGTCAACGGAGCACCACGTAACTCTATAGAAGGAGAAACAGCGCGAACGTCGCCTCTCGTTCACAGCGTTCAACAATCAGCGATCAGAACAAAAAGTATAAAGCCAGTATGCTTTAAAAGCAGCATGTTTGACCATTATGAATGATTCAGTCACGTATTTTTGAAACTTGATACGTGTCAACTGCACATACTCTCGTTCACAGCGTGCTACTATACTCGCGATTAAATAAAAGAAAATTCAGCCAGTGTGTTTCAAAAGCAGAATATTTGACGATCATGAATTATTGAACGACGTAGTTTCGAAAGTTGAAATGTGTGAATTTCACATACGCACATACTATCGACAACAGGGACGTGCTTGTCTTCACAATTCTGTCTCGCTCGTCAAAACCTTGCTGATTAATTAGAGAACGGAATATGTCTTCATAATAAGTATAACCAAATTAAAGAAACTTTCAAACAAAATTTAGCAGATAAATTTCTATTTCCGTGTGTATTTATATTAATTAACTTTCGGTGAGATGGTAAAACAATAGGTATGCGGGGCACAAAAATTTTGCGAGAGACACCTGAACCACTCAAGGGCCAAGGGCCGTTTTAAATAACCGCAGAACAGCGTGTCAGTTTTACCGAATCGATGGAGTGTGGCCGTTTCGATTACCATCGACTGGAAGGCTGGAAGGCTTTTGAAGCGTGCCCGTGCAGGCACAAGTATAACACCGCCCAAGCTAGCTTAGCTGACTAAGTTTGAAGGCATTTGATGACGCTAATAAGGCGTCATCAAAGGCCCCCAGGCATCCCGAGGATGAAGCGCATTACAAGCATGAAGACTTGATGAGCATACTATTTCAAAACGGCGATCAAACAGCTAGAGAGGTAGCTCAAGATTTTTTTCACTGCAGTTAAGTTGGGGCGATAACTGCATGAGTCACCCGTCTTTATCCCTGTCGAATAAGGTAACAGGTTCGCTGGTCTCACGGGCTACGGGTGTATGCGTCATCTGTCCAAAGTATTTCTCTTCCTCGAAGCACTGCTTCTTACTCATATTTTTTAAGCTTTCATTGCACCTAACACCCTTTCACCTATTTTCGCAATTTTCGCCTTTTGAAAGAGTGTTCATTTATTTATTTACTTTGAAAGAGTCTTCACGGCATATTCGATGCTAACAAGACCAGCAGATGCGTATTTTACGGGCAACGGGTCTTCGTAATTTTCACTGCAACCCCTCAAAAAAAAAGAAAACACGAAAACCCATTTTCAAACAATAAAAAGACAAAGTAAGAAAAAGCCCGTTAAACAAAGTAAGAAATAGCCCGTTAATTAGTGCATGAGCAGGGTGCTGAGCAAAACAAGGCCCTACTATGATCAGGCGATACCCAATAACTTTCGTTTAGCCAAAGACCTGTTGACGGGATTCGATTCAAACGCGCCCCCATATTTGACAAGCCGGCACATGTGACAAGCCCCGGGCTGAATTATGACAAGCTCCCACATTTGACGAGGCCCCACCACTTGACAAGCCCACACACTTAGGAGTGTCTGGGCCACTGTCGGGTAAACATTATTTGCATACAGCCCTGTCACCTAAGCTCAGGCGAAGTCACTGCACACACCAAATTTGAAAAATCCAAAGCAGCATGCAAAACGGAGGTTTCGAGAGCCGCGGTTGGTAGCGCCACTAACGCACGTACGACCGTCTCGGGAGCTCTGGAGTACCGACCAAGAGAGCAACGTGGACAGGTGCTGCCACCTCTTGCACGAACCGGCAACTGCACGGCAGCGACAGAATATCTGCTATTCGTAAAACCGCGGTATCCCGCACCTATGCTTCTAATGGGTAGAGATCTACAGCGGTGAAAGCCCATTGCGAAAAGATATCAATGAATGAATAAATGAATGAATGAATGAATGAATGAATGAAAGTCTGCGGCTCTCGAAACTGAAAGCAGTGCGTTTAGAGGGGGCTAAAGAAACAAGCAATGAGTCAGTTTAGATTAATTTTGCTCTCACAGCTCCAACGTCGTTAATTTCACCACCACAGCTCTTTATAATAACGCTGAAAATGAAGCTCACATTTCCTTTTCAAAATTTTGCGTTGAGACCAAGCGTGACGTCGCACATTAACTCAGTGCATTTCCTCAAACCCGGTATGTCGTCTCTGGTACCCTTACAGGAAAATAAACTTTTTTTTTGTTTTTTTGGAACCACGTAGGCCCAAGTAGGCACAATCAAAGACACCAAGGTGATTGGTGCGGGAAACTCGGGGTCCGTGGCCGATTGAATCTTTCTTTCTCGCGTTGATCTCTCTTATTACGCGTCTTCTCGCGATAAATGCACGCGGTTGTCTTTGATAAAACGTGCTTTGCTAACAGTATAACTAGCTAAAATTGTGTAACTTGCTAAATAATAATTGGCTAAAACGAAACAAACTTGGTCCTCTCTTCAATCGCCCTCTCACACAGGTTAACGCCGTAACAAAGGGGCCAATGAGGCAGCCTGCCAATCTTGGATTAACTCACGCGAAGCCAAAATACAGACGACGGTGCTGCGCGACTATTGAAAGCAAGCTGGGTGTCATCCCCCTTTGGGAGCCCTATAGCAGAGAGATTGAGCAGGCCTTCATCCCAGCCCGCTTTCCACCAGCCTCACTCACCACCGTGGGCCTTTTTCTTCATACAGTATCGTTCACCGTGCGATCATTCGCTTTGCACCATGTACCTTTTTCTTCATACAGTTTCGTTCACCGTGCAATCATTCGCTTTGCACCATGTACCTTTTCCTTCATACAGTTTCGTTCCCCGTGCAATCATTCGCTTTGCACCATGTACCTTTTTCTTCATACAGTTTCGTTCACCGTGCAATCATTCGCTTTGCACCATGTACCTTTTTCTTCATACAGTTTCGTTCACCGTGCAATCATTCGCTTTGCACCATGTACCTTTTTCTTCATACAGTTTCGTTCACCGTGCAATCATTCGCTTTGCACCATGTACCATTTTCTTCATACAGTTTCGTTCACCGTGCAATCATTCGCTTTGCACCATGTACCTTTTTCTTCATACAGTTTCGTTCACCGTGCAATCATTCGCTTTGCACCATGTACCTTTTTCTTCATACAGTTTCGTTCACCGTGCAATCATTCGCTTTGCACCATGTACCTTTTTCTTCATACAGTTTCGTTCACCGTGCGATCATTCGCTTTGTACAGCTGGAGTACGCGGAAATGAAGCAGACGGTTCACGGGACGGCGACATTTTCAACACGTTGTGGCCGCGGCTATATACAGTGCACATGCGCGAGGACAGCAAGAGAGCACCCGACTGGCCTGGTTGGTACACGATTGAGACGGAAACAAATACCGTATACATATACACATACTTATGTAGCATATCTGCTGCGCAGAGCCCACAACGGAGGTATACACGCTCGCACAATATGACCTTGTGCCCAAATAAGCGATGTGGCGCTGATACAATGACCGATGTGTCTTCTTCAGCTCTAGCATCGAGAACTAATTAATTAATAAAAAATCGCAGACGGACAAATTTCAGGGTCGGTGTCTCAATATGCCGAACGAACCTGTACATCCATTCTTTTAGCACGCAAAACAGCCTAGAATGAAACCACCTTCCCGCCTCCATTCGAACAAATATCGATGCCAACTTCAAAGGCGACATTGAAGACACGGTGTTTTGCTCGTTTGCATTCTGTATTCTTATACGAGAGAAACAAGGTTGAAACACGTTTTTCACACCATTTCGTTCGTCATTGGTAGAGGGTTAAAAAAAAATAAAGAACAGTTGAACAACCAGGTCATAACACAACTCTAAGGAAGCCATGAAAGAACAAAAGCATTCACAAAATG